CAGGGTCGAGGTTGGAATCTAAGAAGAATGGCAATCAAGAAAGGTTGTCAGAAATCACGATTCGAATCAAAGAAAAGGTTCAACAAAGTAGCCAAGATAACACGAGAAACGTCTCGACGACGAGGAGAAAGGGAGAAGGAATAAGAAGTATTTCCCACATCGATTCGACTTGATCAATAAAGGTCAGGTCGGGAAAGGAAGAGAGCCGATCTCGTTACAAGACGACTAATAAAGGATAAACACTCGAAAAAATGAAAAATTTATAATCAGAGATCTAACGGGAAAATCGCCAGAAGACTCGCATGCAATTCCCAGCAAATGAAAAATGTTCTTATTTCCAGACAGTTTACCCACAAAAATAAAAAGCGTTCTTATCTCAAAATACGAAAACAAGTCGAACAGGTAATGAAAACTTACTCATACTCATGATGATTGATGGAAAGTCCTGAGAAATCGGAGAAGGATGCCGGAAAATAAGAGCGCCGGAAAGCTGTGTTTGCCGAAGAAAAACAGAAGGCTCAGAAGAGAAAAGTGCGAAAAGTGAAGAAGGGAAGAAATGAGGAGTATTTATAAAGGAAACAGAAAAACCCTAACCCTCAGATTAAAATCATATCCAACGGTTGAGATGGCGCACAAAATACGAAGCGGCAGAGAGATAAGACGTCTTATCAATGCTCGAAGACCCTACTTTTTGAATTTTGAAATTCAAAAAGATTCGGACTTATCTAATCAAATCAAAGTTTGCGTAGACAAGTCACACTGCAAGTCAAGGTAACGAGTGGGCACGACCCAGGTAAAAGACTGATGGTGGGACTCAACAAAAGGCTCAAAGGAGACATCTAGTCGACACAATCTACTCGTAAGCTCAGAATAGCTTCGAGTAATTTCGGGGGGGACTAGATGATATAGCCATACTGTCGTGAAACGGTTCAATAATCATCACGGTTCGAAATTATCAAGTCAACTTCGACAACAGTCGATTTGACCAGCAAGGTTCCATGATACTCAGGCAAGAATCCCGGCTCTCGACCGAGTCAACGTACACCTGTCGACTAGGAAAAGTCGACCTCTGGCAAAGACAACGGTCAGACGTATTAGGGTCCACCAACAGTTGAATACGACCTAGTCAACTCGACTCAATATCTCAGGTCGACTGAAGGAGGCTCGCGGTCCGTGGTTCTAGATAGCTTTGACACACCTCAGCATATTGAAGAAGAGTTAAGGATAAGAAGGAAGCTAAAGAAGGATCTAGATGCTGACTAGGAGGAAGGCAGAATATGAACCGACCGGGGCATTCTGGACATTTCCATCAAGTCGGCCGGGGCACTTTGGGGACTTCAGGTAAACATTGCACTCCTATATAAAGGGCTGAGGTAATCCCAAAACCCTAACTCCCATTCATTCCATACCCTTTTCATTACTGATGCTGCTCTCCATAGCAGCCTCTATCATCTCTCTCACATACTGACTTGAGCGTCGGAGGCTCTGCGCCGGAAACCCCTCCGGCGTTGAGTTCTTGCAGGTGTTCTTGCGGCTCAACAACGGTTCGAACGTCATCACATCAGATCTTAGCTCTTTTACATCGGTTCATCCCAGATCCGGACGTTTTCCCATTGGACCGTTCCAGATCTGAGAAGAGACCCATCATCTACTATTGTTATATTGAGTTGTTCGAAATTGAATTAAAATCAACTACTATAAATCATAATACTATCACTACAAAAAAACACTACAAATTCCAACGAAAAATTCCAACGGTAAAAATTTCCATTAGAAATTCCAATGAATATTCCAACAAACTTAATTTTATGTTGGAATAAGTGTTGGATAGTTGAAGAATTCCAACGGATTTTTTCCGTTGGAATAGATGTAGGAATTTATTTCCATAGGATTTTCCGTTGGATATTTGCTATTCTAACAGCCGTTTTTCCAACAGATTTTTATACGTAGGAATATCCGTTGGAATAGTTATTCCAACAGAAATATAAAAAAATTCCAAAAAAAAAATTTTCGTTGGAATGTAAGAATTTTTTTTGTAGTGTATATGAATATGAATTTGAAATAAAATCAACAGCTAAGTACAAAGTCTAATCCTGCATTTCGAATTTAATACCAATATTTTATTGATTCATAAAATCCACACTATATAAAATACTAATGTTTGTTATACGTGTAAATCTAATAACAATTAATTAATCGGATAAGGTAAGGATAAGAAACAATAAAAGATATATCCGGTACAAAATAATTTGAATATTAAATTTATAACAAAAGTTTTTTACTTTTTATCACTGAACAAAATATCTTTGTTTGTTACCATATTGCATCTACAAACCGAGAGATAATTCGTGCTTCTCTTATAATATGGGATGAGGCTTTAATGATACACAAACACTGCTTCGAAGCTGTACAAACATCTCTGCAGGGTATTATGGGAGTAATTGACCCTTCAAACAAGGAAAAACCTTTTGGCGGGAAGACTTTTGTTTCTGGTGGAAATTTCCGACAAATCCTTCCGGTCATTCCGAAGGGCAGCCGTCAAGACATAGTTAATGCTACCATAAATGCTTCTGACATATGGAGAAGTTTTATTGTGTTAAGTCTTACAAAAAACATGCGTCTCCTCAGACTTCAAGATTCGAATGAACGTGATGAGCTCACTCGGTTTGTGGATTGGATAACTAGCATTGGAGATGGCACTATAGGGGGGTCGAACGATGGTTGTGCAATGATTGACATACCCGAGGATATTTTGCTAGAGTCATCTGATGATCCCGTTGCTCAAATCGTTAAAAGCACGTATCCAATGTTTAAGAAGGCCACCGACGATCCAAGTTATTTGAAGGACAGGGCTATATTAGCGCCGACTTTGGATTTTGTCGATTCTATCAATGAGTACATGACATCTTTGAATTTGTCGGATGGTCGTACGTACTTGAGCTCTGATAGTACGGGCAAATCAGATTCTAATAATGATTTTTTGCCTGATCTGGATACGCCCGAGTTTTTGAACAGTATCAAGTGTTCTGGAATACCGAATCATGATTTGTACTTGAAGATTAGAACTTCGGTCATGCTGTTGCGGGGTATGGACCATTCTATGGGTCTGTGTAATGGAACATGATTGGTAGTGACGAAGCTCTCAACTCATGTTCTCGAGTGTAAGATACTCACTGGCGATCACGCAGGTGATAAAGTGTTGATTCCAAGATGGTTATAACTCCATCTGATGTTAGAATTCCTTTCAAGTTCCAGCGATGTTAGTTTCCCATTATGGTCTCTTATGCCATAACTATAAATAAGAGTCAGGGACATTCATTATCTCATGTTGGCTTATTTCTTAAGAAATCAGTGTTTAGTCATGGCCAGTTGTATGTTGCTGTCTCCCGTGTCACTAACAGAAATGGTTTGAAAATCTTAATTTGTGACGATGATGACGTGCCAAAGAATCATACCATGAAAATAGTATATAAGAAAGTGTTCAATAATATATAGATTAGTTTTTCCCAACAATATTATTAATGACATGATGTTTCTGTTAGTAAGTACTTTGAATTGTAACTGATATTTGCTTTTTAAAAGGGACGGAGATAATTAACCCCCGTGCATCGTACTGGCTCTGTACTAGTTTATTATAATATGTATTATAGAATCCTAATCCTTTAGGAGAAGGATTAAATATTATATATTTATATATTTTCTTACCATATATGCCATATGCTTTAATTATTTTGATTTTTTGCCATAATTAGTTTTCTCTCTCTTGTAGGACAAGGAATAAGTGGCAAGTACTATGAAAGGATGATCAATTCGTTCATAATGAAAAGTACTATAAGGAGGATTTGAAAAGATTTACCACAAGATTTTTGAAGGTTTAGAAGATCGGATATTTTAGAAAAGTTGTGTTCTTACATCAGGGAACAAAAGATTTCTATTGGAAGCTCAATTCTGAAGATCTTCAAATCACATACACAAATTCTACATCAAGAAAACTTATTATTAATGAAGGATTTCGTCCAAATCAGAAAGGAATCAATTGAGAAGGAAATTGACTCCTAAAAGGAAAAGTTGTGAAGACTCCTTACATTAAAGAGATTGTATTTAAGTCTACTGAAACGATCAATTGAAGAGAGCTACTGCAATAATCGAGTTCATCATTCATCAGATTCAATTGAGTGTTTGAGAGTATTTTATTCTTTTTACTTTTTTCGTCCCACCATTTCAGCGTTCTTACATTGTTGACTAACAAGGTCTGTTTGACAGCTCGGAGCTTGGTCGAGGATTTTCCGGTGGAGTGGACTAGCAAGGTCTGTTTGACAGTTCAGTGGTTAGTGCATTCTGTTTTTTTTTTCTTGTATTTGTTTGGTTGTGGGTGTGGGTGTTGCGGCTATCTGGGGGGCTAAGTTCTTTATTGTTGCCTCTAGTTAGTGTTTGTTGTTCTTTTTCTAGGCCGTGTTGTTGCTAGTCATGGTTCTCTCTTGTTATGGCCCTCGGCATTTCAGGTGGTGCCCGTTTGTATATTTGTGTTTCTAAACTTTGTATCTTATTTTCTTGTTAGTTTGAGTTTCGTATCTTCCATTTAAAAAAAAAATGACACTTGATGTAAATGACCCTCTTCCAAATTTTTTGAGTTAAACAGTCGGACTGTTGTGTTCAGTGACGAATAACTGTTTTCTCAACGATGCAGCACATACATTATTTGTATTTGTCCAATTTAAATAAATTTGATTATCTATTGGATTTTTACTGTGGTCCATAATCAAAATTTGCCTTCTCTTTTAAATTCTTAACCTTGTTAGTGCATTTTTTTGTGTTGCTATATATTCAAGATTAAGCTTATCGTAATTGAGGAAAAAGAATAAAAATAAAGAAACGAAGAGAATCTAAAGAAATTCATTGCAAATCAATAACAAGTACTGAAGATGTTACCAATAACAGGTTTAATTATTACAATTTCAATGGACTTTTATTTTTCTTTTCTTGTTGTTTTTTCATTCTGATTACTCGCGTAGGCGATAAGTTGGAATAGCCATTAGATGCTTCTCTCGAGCAGTCACCAAACCAAAGTGTTCAGACATGTCCAAATCACAAGTCGACATACCATTCGGAAGCTCCCAATCAAAACAATGCATTAGTTGTGCCACTATCAACTTCACCACGGTGAGCCCGAGTTGCAGCCCGGGACAACTCCTCCGGCCCGACCCAAACGGCAATAGCTGAAAATCATGGCCCCTCAGGTCTATCTCACTACCAATAAACCTCTCGGGGGAAAATGTTTCTGGGTCGGGCCAAACGTCTGGATCTCTGCCGATTGCCCACACATTGACTAACAATCTCGAATGTTTTGGTATGTGAAAACCTTCGATCGTGCAATCTTATGTGGACTCGTGGGGAATCAATAGTGGTGCGACCGGGTGGAGCCTTTGAGCTTCCTTGATTACAGCATCCAAGTAATGGAGGTTGTTGAGGTGATGTTCCTCGACCGTATGAGCCGAGCCCACCGCGGATTCTAACTCTTTCTGGAGCTTTTTTGTGACTTGTGGGTGCCTAATGAGTTCTGAGAGTGTCCATTCTATCGCCGTTGATGAAGTGTCCATTCCTGCTATAAGTAAGTCCTGAACATACAACAAGCATTGTTCATAATATGATTTTAGCTCAACAAAGAGGATTTCAAGCAAAAGTAATCTTCTTTCAACAATTTATGAGTTGACAACAACATTTATATATAAAATATAAATAATTATATATTATGCATAAAGTAAACTATAATCATCTATCAGAAGCAATTTAAAAAGAATGAATTAACTAAAAATTTCTCATAAAATAAATAAAATATATATGAAGTAAAAGAATCACAAAAAATATAAAATATTAATTTTCTAAATATTTCTTACATATTATATTACTGACAATATATATTATAATATTTATGCACAAAAATATTGTATAATTATTTCACATATTATACATAAAATATTAAAACTTTTTTATGAATATGTTATTGCAAAGCAAGATACTATGATAAATTAAAGTAATATTTTATTTTACTACTGCACGGCGTAAGCTACGGTAGAATAAAAGTTGCAACAAATTATGGCAAATTTTAACAGTAGTATTACACTGGATGTTAGACCGCCGTGCGTGCACGGCGTAAGCCCATCTAGTATATATATATATATATATATATATATATATANNNATTCATGCCCTTAATCTATTAATATATAATAAGGATTAACATAATTTACTTATGGAAACATTTTCCCGCCAATTTCATTAATTACCTTCTATATAGAGAAATAACACAAGTGAATCATTAATTGCTGGAGATAATCTATCAGTTAAAAAAGGAAATTCTAATTGCTGGAAACAATCTATCTATTAAAATAGGAAATGAATTTATAATTTACTTTGTCAAATTAAGATTTTGAGTTAATCCTTCTATAACACGTTTGTGCGGACGACATGCATAGATACAACCTCAAATGATTTAAATGAATGATCTTTTTTTATCAATAATACTTCATCAACATAAACATTAACCAATAATAATTGGCCACATATTATTACCTAGGTATATACAACCTTGAAACAAATCATACAGTACCTAAGTTCACTTTAATGTACAAATCATTACAAATAAAAAATAAAAATTTTATAGATAACATATATGATTTTATTTTTTTTCCTAATTACGATGTAAAAATACTTTTTAATAAAAGTAACAGACTTCATAATTATCACTTTAATATATATATATATATA